ACCATCTGACCTTTGACAAACCTGAGAAAAACAAGCAATGGGGAAATGATTCCTGTTTAATAAATGGTGTTGGGAAAACTGGCTAGCCATGTGCAGAAAGCAGAAACTGGACCCCTTCCTGACACCTTACACTAAAATTAACTCCAGATGGATTAAAGACTTAAACATAAGACCTAACACCATAAAAACCCTAGAAGAAAACCTAGGCAAAACCATTCAGGACATAGGCATAGGCAAGGACTTCATGACCAAAACACCAAAACCAATGGCAACAAAAGCCAAAATAGACAAATGGGATCTAATTAAACTCCAGAGCTTCTGCACAGCAAAAGAAACAATCATTAGAGTGAACTGGCAACCAACAGAATGGGAAAAAATTTTTGCAATCTACCCATCTGACAAAGGGCTAATATCCAGAATCTACAAAGAACTGAAACAGATTTACAAGAAAAAAACAAACCCATCCAAAAGTGGACAAAGAATATGAGCAGACACTCTTCAAAAGAAAACATATAAGAAGCCAACAAACATATGAAAAAATGCTCATCATGGGTCATTAGAGAAATGCAACTCAAAACCACATTGAGATATACCACCTCATGCCACTAAGAATGGCTTCTTGCTTTACAAAGATGAGATTATAATTCAGTAATACACACTCAAGCATTTCCCTGCAGAGCATGGTGTAACTTTCACAAGTCACATTGAGAGTCCACAGATGAAGGAAAAGGTCATGGATTTCACTGAAAACTTACCAAAGTTGAACTCCCTCACTTTCTGCTGCCCAGCACTGGTGGGTTCCGAGACTGGTGGTTATGGTAGTTCATTGGTCTTTGGTCTCTTAGAAGGTGGAGAATCGGCCAGGCGTGGTGGCTCATGCCTGTAATCTCAGCATTTTGGGAGGCCGAGGTTGGTGGATCATGAGATCAAGACATTGAGAACATCCTGGCCAACATGGTGAAACCCCATCTCTACTAAAAATACAAAAATTAGGCGGGCACGGTAGCACACACCTGTGGTCCCAGCTACTCGGGAGGCTGAGGAGGAAGAATCACTTGAACCCAGGAGGTGGAGGTTGCAGTGAGCCGAGATTGCGCCACTGCACTCCCGCCTGGCGACAGAGCAAGACTCCATCTCAAAAAACAAAAAGAAGGTAGAAAATCGTCATCATCTTGAAAAAGAAAATGGTCATTACCGAAGGAACCATCTTAGTTACAGCCACAGTTACGACATTCAAAATGTAAGCAGGGCTTTAAAGCTATTTTGAGGATCAATACTTCTTTCTGTATTGAGATCTTCAGCTTAATTTTTTCTAGTTACATTTGAAATTTTATTCTTTTGGGATGTGCTCAGGTAAATGTTGCTTTTTCCTCTGTCTCGCTTCATTAATTTTTTTTTTTTTTGAGACCAAGTTTCGCTCTTGTTACTCAGGCTGGAGTGCAATGGCGCGATCTCGGCTCACTGCAACCTCCGCCTCCTGGGTTCAGGCAATTCTCCTGCCTCAGCCTCCCGAGTAGCTGGGATTACAGGCACGCGCCACCATGCCCAGCTAATTTTTGTATTTTTAGTAGAGACGGGGTTTCACCATGTTGACCAGGATGGTCTCAATCTCTTGACCTCGTGATCCACCCGCCTCGGCCTCCCATAGTGCTGGGATTACAGGCTTGAGCCACCGCACCCGGCCCTCGCTTCATTCATTTTTAGTTTGCTTCATTTGTATCATTATAAATCTCCCCTTCTCTTCAAATAACTTTGAAATTGCTGCCAGTAATTACAATCTATTTTAAGCTTTTGAGAAAAAATCGTCAATGAAGACAGCCACCTAAAGTTATACAAATATATAAGAAAGGGGACAAAATAAAATTTAGATTGGAAAACACATTTAAGTTTATACAAAATACAAAAACAAGGGAAGCTGGTTAACTGTATGTTCAAATTCTTTTAACAAGTGCAAAATGTATAGGCTTAAAGAAATATGCTCATGCATGGCTAAGGCAAAAAGAAGAAACATTTAAAAAAAAAAAGAGCCAGGCGCAGCGGCTCATGCCTGTAATCCCAGCACTTTGGGAGGCCGAGGCGGGTGGATCACGAGGTCAAGAGATTGAGACCATCCTGGTCAACATGGTGAAACCCCGTCTCTACTAAAAATACAAAAAATTAGCTGAGCACGGTGGCATGTGCCTGTAATCCCAGCTACTCAGGAGGCTGAGGTAGGAGAATTGCCTGAACACAGGAGGTGGAGGTTGCAGGGGGTGAGCCGAGATCACGCCATTGCACTCCAGCCTGGGTAAGAATAGTGAAACTCCGTCTCAAAAAAAAAAAAAAGAAAAAAGAAATAGGGGTGACTGGGCACTGTGGCTCACACCTGTAATTCCAACACTTTGGGAGGCTAAGGCAGGTCTATCAGTTGAGGTCAGGAATTCAAGACCAGCCTGGCCAACATGGTGAAACCCCATCTCTAATGAGAAAACAAAATTTAGTCAGGCATGGTAGTGCCTATAATCCCAGCTACTCAGGAAGGAGAACCACTTGTACTAGAAAGGCCGAAGCTGCAGTGAACCGAGATCGCACCGCTGCACTCCAGCCTGGGTAACAGAGCAAGACCCTTTCTCAAAAAAAAAGAAAAGAAAGAAAGAAAAGAAAAGAAATAGGGCTACATTATTTATGAAACAGATACTTCTGGTGACTCAGTCTCCAGAAAGCCTGTGCATAAATGAGCAGTGAGATATTCAAGCACAGCACACACACACTCTACTCAGGACAGCTGTCATGAGAGTTCCATGCTCATTTCCTTGTGGACACACCAGCAACTCACTCTGATCCTCCAAGACACCTCATGATAGAATTAGAGACATCTGGGTCAAATCAGCTGTCACTGTCATCTTCCAGTCTCCCAAAGTATCAGGTAATGTGTTACTAAGATTGCTGCTCACACATCATCTATCAAATACTGAAAATATCATTTTAAGAAATCAGCAGGGCACGGGCACGGTGGCTCACACCTGTAATCCCAGCACTTTGGGAGGCTGATGCGGGCAGATCAAGAGGTTGGATTTCAAGACCAGCCTCCCAACATGGCAAAACCCTGTCTCTACTAAAAATACAAAAATTATCTGGGTGTGGTGGCATGCACCTGTAATCCCAGCTACTCATGATGCCGAGGCAGGAGAACTGCTTGAACCCAGGAGGAGGAAGATGCAGTGAGTCAAGGTCACGCCATTGGACTCCAGCCTTGGCAATAAGAGCAAAATTCCATCTCAGAAAAAAAAGAGAATACTCAAGTACAATAAGCTGTCTTTTTAGATGGATATAATTGTTATTCTTATTTTACAGCTAAAGAAATGGACTCAGAGAATGTTATCTGATTGGACCCTGTTGCATCTCTGGACAGTGACTCCTGATTCCACCAGCCTATAAAGGTAAGGAATATAAATTTGGCCTAATATACAAAGTTGCCGGGGCAGCATTGGGTCAATTCTACATACAGTACTTCTATGTTCATGAAGGGGAACCTTAAGGGAAGGTGAAAATGCTTCTAGGGACACCAGCGCCCTTGCTTGTTGCCTTTGGGCTCTTCCTCAAAGGCCAACAGTGACCTGAAATTATTGACTGACTGTGATAATCAACTGGAGAAAATCATACCAAGATCATCAACATCAGACAAATTTAGTTGAGGACCTATCTATCAAAACTGCTTTTGTAAAGGATACTGTATTTCAGAAAATCATAATTATATTAACAACTAATAACACTATAAAATGCTGTTGAAAAACATGTTCAGGCCGGCACGGTGGTTCATGCCTGTAATCCCAGTACTTTGGGAGGCCAAGGTGGGTGGATCACCTGAAGTCGGGAGTTCTAGACCAGCCTGACCAATATAGAGGAAACTCCCTCTCTACTAAAAATACAAAATTAGGGTGTCATTGAGGGCTCCCGTAATCCCAGCTACTCAAGAGGCTGAGGCTGGACAATCGCTTGAACCCAGGAGGTGGAGATTGCAGTGAGCAGAGATAGATCATACCATTGCACTCCAGCCTGGGCAACAAGAGCAAGACTTTGTCTCAAAAAAAAATTTCAAATCTAGGAAAAAAATCTGATAGAAAACTATGCATCAATTATCTAGTTAGCTAGCTAACTATCTAGAGACATGGTCTCATTCCATTGCTCAGGATGGAGAGCAGTAAGATGATCATGGCTCACTGCAGCCTTGAACTCCTGGCCTCAAGTGAATCTCCTGCCTCCACCTCCTAAGTAGCAGGGGCCACAGGTGAACACAGTTACACCTGACTTTTTTTTTTTTTTTTTTTTTGCTAGAGACGGGGTTTCACTACATTACCCAGGGTGATCTCAAACTCTGGGGTCTCGCTCTGTCACCCAGGAATGATGTCTCCCCAGTTCAAGCGATTCTCCTGTCTCAGCCTCTCGAGTAGCTGGGACTACAGGCACGCACTACCACACCCGACTAATTTTTATATATTTTGCAGAGACCAGGTTTCACTGTGTCGGCCAGGCTGGTCTCAAACTCCTGACCTCATATGATCTGCCCACCTCAGCATCCCAAAGTGCTGGGATTACAGGCGTGAGCCACCAAGCTGGGCCGAACATTTTCTTATGTTATTAAACAGCCTAACCCAGGCGGGCGAAGTGGCTCATGCCTGTAATCCCAACAACTCTGAAGGCCAAGGTGAGAAGATCGCTTGAATCCAGGAGTTCGAGACCAGCCTAGGCAAAATAGCGAGACACTCATTTCTACAAAAGATACAAAAATTAGGCCAGGCGTGCACCACTCCCGGCTGTTTTGTATCTTTCACAGAGATGGAGTTTCATCATGTTGCCCAGGCCGACCTCGAACTTCTAAGCCCAAACCATCCTCCTGCCTCGGCCTCCCAAAGTGCTGGGATTACAGGACCCAACCAGGCTCATGTTCTCTTTAACGGTCCCCCCCCCCCCCGTTGCACCCTTGGATAGTTTTCTTTTTTGTTTTTTTAGACAGGGTTTACCTCAGTTTCGCAGGCTGGAGTGCGGTGGGGGGATCATAGCTCATTGCAGCCTGGACCCTCGGGGTTCAAGTAGCTGGGAGGCTGAGGTGGGACTACAGTGACGGGGTTGCGCCGTACCGTCCAGGCTACACTAGAACTCCTGGACTGAAGGGATCCTCCGCCTCCGCGGGACACGGCTTTCTATTTTTGACCGACATAAAGTCTGAATTGAGTCGGAGTTTGTCAATTATCCTCCTTCGGCCAACAACACGCATGATCTGGCGTGGAGAGCACGGTTGCAAGGCACCACTCCGACGACAACGCAGCTCAACGCCAGGCACTGTACCGTCCCTGACGTCGCTGACGCCGACGGCCCGCGTCTGTGACGTCGCTGACGCCGAGGGGCCGGAATATGACGTCACAAAGACGAGGGCGCGCTCCTGTGACGTCACTGAAGGCCCGCCCCTCACGTGGAGCCGATCGGACTGTTTTCTTTAGACAGTCCCTCCCTGTTACACACCTGAACAGTTTTATTTTTTATTTTTTAGGCAGGGTTGACCTCAGTCTCGCAGGCTGGAGTGCTGTGCAGGGATCATAGCTCATTGCAGCCTTGAAATCTGGGGTTCGGCCGGACGTGGTGGCTCACGCCTGTAATCCTAGCACTTTGGGAGGCCGAGGTGGGTGGATCACCTGAGGTCAGGAGTTCAAGACCAGCCTGGCCATCAGGGTAAAACCCCATCTTTATTTAAAAAATAAAAAAAGACATTTGGGGTTCAAGTAGCTGGGAGGTCTTGAACTGCCGGGTCTTCCGGGAGCGCGCTTGAGCAGGTGGCCACCGGCCACAGGCGGTCACAGGAGACAGGCGACCGGACACATGGACGCGGTCGCTGAGCAGGGCCTTTCTGTGTCTGCAGGTTCCTGCCAGGCCGCCCCCACCCATAGCTATGAGAAGGAGCTCTACCTCTGCCTGGACTACTACTACCTGCGCGACTTCCTGGCCTGTGGTTGAGGCGGGAAAATCGCTTGAACCTGGGAGGCCGAGGTTGCAGGGAGTTGAAATCACGCTACTGCGCTCCAGCCTGGGCGACAGAGCAAGACTCCGTCTCAAAACAAAAAGATTTCTACCTAAATATCATAGACTACTCTGAAGGTGAATATTTGCGTATTATGATGTATATTGAACAGTGTGTCTACCTCATAATCAAAAGGATCAGAATCTACTCTTGTTACCCAGGCTGGAGTGCAATGGCGCGATCTCGGCTCACTGCAACCTCCGCCTCCTGGGTTCAGGCAATTCTGCCTCAGCCTCCCGAGTAGCTGGGACTACAGGCATGCGCCGCCATGCCCAGCTAATTTTTGTATTTTTAGTAGAGATGGGGTTTCACCATATTGACCAGGATGGTCTCGATCTCTTGACCTCGTGATCCACCCGCCTCGGCCTCCCAAAGTGCTGGGATTACAGGCTTGAGCCACCGCGCCCAGCAATTTTCGTATGTTTATTAGAGACGGGATGTCACCATGTTGGCCAGGCTAGTCTGGAACTCCTGACCTCAGGTGATCCACCAGCCTCGGCCTCCCAAAGTGCTGGGATTACAGGCTTGAGCCACCGCGCCCAGCAATTTTCGTATGTTTATTAGAGACGGGATGTCACCATGTTGGCCAGGCTAGTCTGGAACTCCTGACCTCGGGTGATCCACCCGCCTCGGCCTCCCAAAGTGCTGGGATTACAGGCTTGAGCCACCGCGCCCAGCAATTTTAGTATGTTTATTAGAGACGGGATGTCACCATGTTGGCCAGGCTAGTCTGGAACTCCTGACCTCGGGTGATCCACCCGCCTCGGCCTCCCAAAGTGCTGGGATTACAGGCGTGAGCCCCCGCGCCCGGCCGATGTCACGATCACTGTATTTCGCGTTCCATCAGTATGAAATTGATGGGAAGGGGCGGGCCCAGGACTGAGCGCGGGCTTGAGTCGTCATCTTGGAGACGGACGGTCCGACGCTTCTGATTGGCAGGGACCACGGGACGTGCCCTCTCCGACCGGGAGGTTCTGGGGGGGGCTGGACGCAAAGGCCGCGGCCCCTGGGGTCTGCACAGCGCAGGTGAAAAGCAGACGGCGGGGGGGGGGGGAGCTGGTGGGAGTCAGGAGCCCCAGCGATGAGGAAAGCGGGTTCGGACGCAGCCGGCGCATGCGTATTGGGGATCCGAGGCAGCACCGGGCGCCGCCATTGCGCGGAGGCTGCAGTCAGTGGGTCTGGGGCGCCCGAGGCTGGACCGGCCCCAGCAGCCCGGTCACCCGCGTCATCGGCTTAGGCGGCGGGGCCCTCGGCACCCTCTCCCGCCCCGGTCCACACTGGCAGCGGCGGCGGCGTCAGGGGGCGGAGCCTGCCGCAGCGCCCTTTGTCTGCAAAGGTAAGCGCGCTCCGGGAAGACGCGGGGGCGGGAGGGGGCGGGGGCGGGGGGGGCGGGGGGCGGGGGGGGGGGCAGCCGTCCCCTTTCCTGTCACCCGCCCCGTGTCCCTTGCGGATTTTTGGTGTTTTATAGGAAGGTCTTCCCCGTTCCAGTACTGTAAACACATTGCCCACTACTGTCTGCGAGTGACTCTGACGCTGAAAAACATCTGCCGTTTATTTTTGGGCAGGCGTCCTTAGGTGTCATTTTGGGGGAAAGTTTTCCCTCATCTCAGCATTATGCAAACGTTGCCTTTATTTTCTTGTGAGACGTTTAAATACTTTTAAGGATATTTTTCTTTTTCCGCTTTTCATCTGTATTTCATTGGGCATGGTATGTGTGGTAAGGGATCAGGTAGAGATTTGCCGTTTTCTCTCATCGCCTTGACTCCTGTTGAGTCACTTTTCCACGGAACTGCAGTTTAATGGCATTTTTGCAGGCGTGTATATACTCACAGGTGTTTCTGTTTATTGATGTTTTGTTTTGAGACAGGATCTCACTTCGTCACTTAGGCTGCAGTGCCGTGGTGCAGTCATGGCTCACTGCAGCCTCGAACGCCTGGGCTCAAGAGCTCTTCCTGCCTCAGCCTCCCTAGTAGCTGGGACCACAGGTGCGCACCACCAGGCCCCGCTTTTTGTCGTTGTTGTTGTTAAGAGATTGGGTCTCATCACATTGCCCAGGCTGGTCTTGAACTCCTGAGCGCAAGTAATCCTCCCGCCTGGGCCTCTCAAAGCTCTGGAATTAAAGGCCCGAGCCAAGGCGTTTGCCCGGATGTTTCTAGATTCTTTCCTTTTACTGCCCTGACAGTTTCTGCAGTAATTATACGTTTATTTATTTCGTTTAAAATGTTGAGGCCGGTTGTGGTGACTCACACCTGCAATTCCAGCACTATGGGAGGCAGAGGCAGGAGGATCACTTGAACTCATGAGTTGGAGACCAGCCTGGGCAACATGGCAAGACCCCGTCGCTACAAAAACACTAGAAAAATTAGCTGTGCTTGGTGGTGTGTGCCTGTAGTTCCCAGCTACTTGGGGGGCTGAGGTGGGAGAATGGCTTGGGCCCAGGAGATGGAGGTGGCAGTGAGCCAGAATCATGTCACTGTACTCTATCCTGCGTGGTAGAATTAGACCTTGTCTCAAAATATAAAATAAATGTTTTAAACAAATTTCTTTTAATTATGTCCTTTCATATAATGATCTTTTTCTTTTTCTTTTTTTTTTTTTTTGTTTTTTCCGGAGTTTTGCTCTCGTTGCCCAGGCTGGAGTGCAGTGGCACGATCTCTGCTCACTCTAACCTCTGCCTCCCGGGTTCAAGCGATTTTCCTGTCTCAGCCTCCCGAGTAGCTGGGATTGCAGGCACATGCCACTATGTCTGACTAATTTTTGTACTTTTAGTAGAGATGGGGTTTCATCATATTGGTCAGGTTGGTCTCAAACTCCTGACTTCAGATGATCCACCCACCTTGGCCTCCCAAAGTGCTGGGATTACAGGTGTGAGCCACCACGCCTGGCCTGATCTATTTCTTTTGACTTGAATTGTGAGGCATTTAAAAGATGCAGAAAAGTTAAAAAAAAAAAACCCAATTTTCTTAAAGGTAGATTGTAGCACTTAATAGGTTGTAGCAATTACTAGGTTCTAACTAGGTAGTTATTTCCGCGAAGAATGTTGCTTGAAAGTCACTTCGTTGCTGAAAACTTAACTGTGGCTCCCTGCTGCCATCAGGAAAATGTTCTGCTTCCTTAGTGATGCCCTTGAAGCCCTTTATGATCTTGATATCACATCTGGCTTTGCCTTACACTCTTGCACCTTTTTTTTCCCCCCCAAAAAAAGGCAGTTTAATTTGTTGGAGTTCAGATTTGTATGTGAATTTCTTTTTTTTTTTTGAGACGGAGTTTTGCTGTTATTACCCAGACTGGAGTGCAATGGCACAATCTCGGCTCACTGCAACCTCCACCTCCTGGGTTCAAGCAATTCTCCTGCCTCAGCCTCCTGAGTACCTGGGATTACAGGCGCGCACCACCATGCCCAGCTAATTTTTTTTGTATTTTTAATAGAGACGGGGTTTTGCTTTGTTGACCAGGATGGTCTCGATCTCCTGACCTCGTGATCCACCCGCCTCGGCCTCCCAAAGTGCTGGGATTACATGCATGAACGCCCGGCCGGAGTTATAGTTCTTATAATATGTTGGTGTCACTGGGCACAGTGGCTCACGCCTATAATCCCAGCACTTTGGGAGGCCGAGGCAGGTGGATCATGAGGTCAAGAGATCGAGACCATCCTGGTCAACACGGTGAAACCCTGTCTCTACTAAAAATACAAAAAAATTGGCAGGACATGGTGGTGCGTGCCTGTAATCCCAGCTACTCGAGAGGCTGAGGCAGGAGAATTGCCTGAACCCAGGAGGCGGAGGTTGCGGTGAGCCGAGATCGCGCCATTGCACTCCAGCCTGGGTAACAAGAGCGAAACTCTGTCTCAAAAACATATATGTTGGTGTCATTTTCAACTGACGTCAACTGTGAAGACCATGCTTTTAATTTTACCTTAGAGTATGCGTCTTTGGTGAGTGTCTTAGCCTGCTCAGTCTGCTATACAATACTGCAGACTGGCTGTAAACGACGGAAATGTGTTTTGTCACAGTTTTAGAGGTGGGAAGCTCAGAATCAAAGGGCCTGCCCTGTTGGTTTCTGGTAGCATCTCTTCTTGGCCTGCAGATAGCTGGCTTCTCTCTGTGTCCTCTTCTGTTGGCCTTTCCATTGTGTGCATGCACTCCTGGTGTCTCTTCCTCTTTTTATGAGGGTACTACTGCTATTGGATTAAGACCCCCACCTTTATGACCCTTTATAACTTTAATTACAGGCCAGGCAGATCACCTGAGGTCAGGAGTTCAAGACCAACCTGGCCAACATGGCAAAACCCCATCTCTATTAAAAATACAAAAACTAGCCAGGCGTGGTGGTGGGCGGCTGTAATCCCAGCTGCTTGGGAAGGTGAGGCAGGAGAATTGCTTGAGGTTGCCGTTAGCCGAGATCACACCATTGCACTCCAGCCTGGGCAACAGAGTAAGACTCTATCTTAAAAAAAAAAAAAAAACAATTACAATCTTTAAGGCCCTATTTCAAATAAAGTCACATTGGGGGTTAGGACTTCAACATATTTGGGGGTGTGGAACATAATTTAGTCCATAACAGTTATAATATAAAAATGAGTTGAGAATTCTAATCTGCCGTAAGGTTAAAACTGCCTCAATAAAATCATCATTACAAGAAAAAAAAAATGTATCCCTTAAGAGAATTCTTATAAAGATATAAGAAGAATTATCCTGATATCACAGATACATGGGAGAATCAAATATTAAGGAAAAACCAGGCTCGGTGACTCACACCTGTAATCCCAGCACTTTGGGAGGCAGAGGCAGGCGAATCATCTGAGGTCAGGAGTTCGAGACCAGCTTGGGCAACATGGTGAAACCCCGTCTCTACTAAAAATACAGAAATTAGCTGGGCATGGTGGTGCATGCCTGAGGCAGGAGAATTGTGCTTGAACCCGGGAGGCAGAGGTTGTAGAGTAGGCCTAGATCGTGCCACGGCATTCCAGCCTTGGCAACAGAGTGAGACTCTGTGTCAAAAAAAAATTAAGGCGTATGCCTACTCCCACACATACTTGGAGTAATTCCTAGCATAGGTTAAGGCATTAAACTATTAAGTTTTGAATGAACTCTACATGAAAAGTTACTATTTGATTAGTTCATCAGCAAATAAATATGGAATTAGAAGTTTATATACAGGAACTAAGAAATAATTCAGTTTCAACTTTCTAATATAAATATGAACGAAACTAAAACTCAGTTTAAATACCTTTCCAAAGTTACAAGGTTATTACCTGGGTGTGGTGGCACACATCTGCGGTCACAGCTACTTGGGAGGCTGAGGCAGGAGAATCGCTTGAATCTGGGAGGCAGAGGTTGCAGTGAACCAAGATCTCACCACTGCACTCCAGCCTGGGTGACAGGGCAAGACTCCCATCTCAAAAAAAAAAAAAAAGAAAAAAATAACAAACAAAAAAGTTTAAGCTACAAATAATGATAGAATTCAAATGAAGAAAAACATATTAATGGGGCCGGCACGGTGGCTCAAGCCTGTAATCCCAGCACTTTGGGAGGACGAGGCAGGTGGATCACGAGGTCAAGAGATTGAGACCATCCCGGTCAACATGGTGAAACCCCGTCTCTACTAAAAATACAAAAAATTAGCTGGGCATGGTGGCGCGCGCCTGTAATCCCAGCTACTCGGGAGGCCGAGGCAGGAGAATTGCCTGAACCCAGGAGGCGGAGGTTGCGGTGAGCCGAGATCGCGCCATTGCACTCCAGCCTGGGTAACAAGAGCGAAACTCCGTCTCAAAAAAAAAAAGAAGAAAAAGAAAAAGTGAAAAAAATAATGTTCAACAAAGAAAAGAAAAAAATTCTAAAAAAAAAAAAAAGAGCGTTGCAGAACAGCGCATATAGTGTGGTGTGCGTTCTGTCAAGTATGTATGTGCCTGTGTCGTATATGCTTGTAATTGCATAGAGAACAATGCACATCAAGGAATTCTTCCAGGGAGGGAAGCAGAGTGAAAGAGGAGTTGAGGCCAGGCATGGTGGCTCATGCCTGTAATCCCAGCACGTTGGGAGGACCAGGCCAGCGGATCACCTGAGGTCAGGAGTTCAAGACCAGCCTGACCAACATGGAGAAACCCTGTCTCTACTAAAAATACAAAATTAACTGGGCATGGCGGCACGTGCCTGTAATCCCAGCTACTTGGGAGGCTGAGGTTGCTGTGAACCGAGATCGCACTGTTGCACTCCAGCCTGGGCGGTAAGAGCCAAACTCCATCTCAAAAAAATAAAAAAAAAAGAGGAGTTGAAGGGCCCTCATATTTTACTCTATGTATTTCCTTGTTTTTCCCTTGTGAGCTTATGAAAAAAA